CGATTGGGCGTGCGACACGGCGCGGTTGGGAGCGCGACCTTGTTCCAACAACAACGTCATCCTGAGCCTGTTACAATTAGCGCAATCTGCTCTAGCTGCGCTCCAAGTCCCGCTCTTACGGTCTTGGGGACAGCCAGTTCGGATTGTCCATCAGCAATGTTGGGTCCAGGGTGGCATCATTGGAGAAAAAAGGCACCCTCACTGCGCTGCAGTCTGAAACCGCTTCAAGACGCCTGTCGTCTTGCAGAGGATCATTGCACATTAATGTGCGGATGCCATGAGGAGCTACACAAATTTTATTTAGTTCAGCTGTACATGATGCGTAGGTTTCTCTTTGTCCTAGTAAAGTTTGGTGGGAGTTATTTTATTTGGTGCATATATTAGTGATTAGTGCAGCTGATCTAGCCTGTTTTCTGGATCATAAGGCGCGCCGCTGTCAAGGTATGTCCTACGGTGGTGGGACACTCCCACAAAATACGACCCTCTTCTGAAGCTCCCTTTCTGAAACAATCACGGAAGGTCTAGTATTCCTCTGTTCCAATTTCCTTTCCCGTCTTTCCGATCCCATTTGCCATCTTGCCGAGCCTCTCCAAGTATTCACAGATTTCCAAAAATTAAACCAGCTTTCCCGAAAAAACTGGCAAGGTGTCCTTCATCGGAAGACTTCTCCGCAACACACTAGACTTGCTGAGGCCGGACAAAAATACAGAGACTATTGTAGACACGAAGATGGAAAAGCAGTTCAACCGCCAACAATGAGCTAAACATAGAGCGTCCCATGAGTGGAGTCATGGTCTACGCTCGCAGATTACCGAATCTTGAAATAAGCAGTTGATTTATACGACGAAGTGGACGCACTACCTACGAGAAGATGTAGATGTTCAAGATAATGGATTCATCTGGAGACGCCACGTCAACCAGCTCCTTCCACGTGGTTAAAGCTACACAAGAGCTGATGAGCGTCTCCGACTTACCATCCAACACCACATCGTATTATCTTATTATATATATTATATTATCATATATTATACGTATATTATAATATCGTATTCCTTATTGGCGACCACTTCTACAACGCCTCGATCTTCTACGGTGGCAGCTGATCCAACGACAACAACTACACAGCCAATACCTCCTGCCAGACGACGATCAAGCCGCTCTCGACGCTCTCCGGAATACCTTCGTACGCCAATTAGTGCGAGGTTGTCAACCTTAGAGAGTGTTGGTGCACCATGATCTCACCTATGACGGTGTTTGATCTGGTGTTCTAACAGATATGCCTGGATTTGAGTGGAAACTTTGACGAGAGAGAACAGTATATAAACAGCCCATCCCTGGTTGTATTTCTACTGTCTTCCAATGTATATTCCGCTGCTGCCTATTCTCAAGAGCATCAACGGAGCAGTCAACAACGAGAAAAGTTGTTTCTCGCTCCCCGGAGAAAATCCTCTCAGGTAAAACTAGGACCACCGCTTCATCAGCGCCGGAATGCGATACTTCTGATAGGATTCTCCTGAATATGCTGTACGCTAACTTGGCATCGTTTCGTTCCCTCCGTTTAGAGCGATCAAACAACATTTCTGCTTTAATGACAAAGTTCAAAGAAGAGAAGACGTGAGTGCTTTACTTGTTGTCGCCATGTATGTAATTCATGGCATTATCATTGTTCGTTAATGTCACAGTGGGAACGATAGATTTCTTCAAAAACACTTTATCACTTGAAAATGAATAGAAGACAATGCGCGTTCAAGAACACTAAACGTGCAAATATGAAACGCAAGGATTCGTTCTAGCCCTAGTGAAGTGTAGCAAAGGAAATACATCGGAGAATATTTCTGAAAGCGTTCAACGATGTGTAACATCCCAGAGATGTGACGAATAAGTTACACTACTGGAAGAACCTTGTAGAACAAGAGAAAAGGAAACTACTTTGCCCTTCGCAGGACCCAGCTGGCCCTCCTGCGGAGATTCCAGTTGTCCTCAATGGGCCTGCATTCTCATCTTAGAACGAAACAAAATGAATGCAAAATAACATGGGAGAGGAGTGTGCGTGATTAATAAGTCGACATGATCCGAACCTAGAAATCGAGTAGCAATACAAGATTCTTCTGATGACGTCTGAAGGAGTGTTGCACCACATGCTGCGATTCACTGGCATACAGGAATAATACAGTATCATCTCAGGGCGCTACAGTACATATCCTCCTCCTAGACATTGATCTGAGCGTAAAAGCTATTCTCTGTCGACTATACTCCGATAAAATTGAAGGCAGATAGAATGATATGATAAATGAGATCGGGTTTTGTACAAGAAATAGAAGAGAATCGCATATAATCAATAGTAACGACAAGCTAGGAATGTTAGGAAAGGAAAAAGGGAAGAAATAGAGATGCATAAATGAATAAAATGATTCTCATATGCTGCACAGGGATTCATTGATATGATTATATAAATAAACGACGAATTTTTCGCAAACAAATATTAGGATTCTTCATTGGATGACAACTGACTGCTAAATGATGAACTATATCACGTTGAGATCACACCGGTACTTCGGCTTTAATCGGGAACATGAACTCAGCCTCTCCGTCAGCGTTCGCATTCGCCTGAAACTGTAGCGATAGCCATTACTCAGAATTTAGATCAATGACCATTTATTTGAAGACATCATGCCAATACCCGCTGAGTTGAATCCCTTCTACGTATCTGGTAACCAATCAAGAAGAATGCGTGGTGTGGAGGTGTCCTTACGTACGTATTGGCGTATCTCCAGCTCGTTTCCCCAAGTCGCTGCCTCACTGGGGAGCCATTGATGGAAACAGGCTGGCGTCGAGCTGTACTCAAAACGAGCCTGTTTGCCCGGGAAACAATCACAAGAGGACGAGTTGCATGGAGCGACTATTTACCTCGCTGCTGCCAGCGAGTGCGGGTGTGTAGCTAGCCTTCGATTCACGACTCAGAGTCGCTAATAAAGCGGGACTTGCACAAGTTAATTACAGTAACTTGGCCGATGAGTAACATCGCCTTCTTCGGTTGGAGCGTAAGTAACAGCGGCTTTTTCTGATTCAAAATTTCGGGAAAAAAGGGAAAATGTCTGTGAAGGAGTTTGTAGTTAGCGGGGTTAGATACACAAGTGTATGTACTAACTGACCTACTCGCGAAGTAAAGGAGAAGAACCTGTCGAAAACGCTATATGTAAGACCGTATTTGTGCTTTGTAAGCGGGAGATAAAGGATCAGTGTGGATAGCTAGGGAGAGACCAGAGAAAGCACAGAGAGAGGAGAACACATGCAGAGGAGCAAGACAGCAGACAAGACATCTATCAAAGCGGGCACAGTCACTTGAGCAATCTTGTGCCTTACTACCTTACCACTTTCCTTAAACAAGATTGGTCGTTGCAGTCTACGCTACCTCTCCAACTAAGAGCTTAGAAGTTATTATGGATCGCGGGCTCTGCATAATGGATCGCGGGCTCTGCCTTCAAGGCTTGAAGGCCGGTCATGAAAGAATCAGGGATGGAAATTAAGCTAACCGATTGAGTGTTTCTTCATTTTGAAGAAGTCAAATTCGAACAGGACAACCCTTTAGGAGCTTGGTCGATCCTCTCATATGCGGCTACTACCTCACCAAAATCTTCAAAGTCCCCATCAACTATCCAGAACTCAGTATGTAGTTTTACTTCGAGAATCTGGCGTCGGCGATTCATATAAAAGGTGCATTCGTCTAAAAGGTAATAATGGATGCCAGAATCCCTGATATGCGCCCGGGCTATTTCCGAACACTCAGTTACCACTAGAAGGGCTCCAAAATGATCATTGATAAGAAACGTCATTTCTTCGCGTGACACATAAGCCATTGCAAAATAATTGCAACATGCCACAATGGTCAACACGATTAAGCTTGTCACAATACCACAGCTATGGATAGGCCGTTTTCATACATATTCTATTCCACGTTTATTGATTGCTGTTGTTCGTCGTTTGCCTTCTTTCGTATTCGTAGACGTTTCAACCAGAAAGTGGTCCGTGAAGAAAATGGTAATTATCTGGCTGTTATGGAGGAACGTCATCTGCGAAGTTTGTTGGAAACAAAATATGCTACTGTAGTCACTCAAAGGCTTGATGGACGCGCGAGGTATTTCTTGAGCGTTGTGTGCGCAATATAACGCGTAGTTTGGACCCCGCAAAAATCCTATGCAACACAATTTTGGAATGTTGATCGGGAGAACCTCCCCCAGGGCACACCACCGTTTAGGGATTTTAGCCAAATCCGTGACCCTCCTCCCTAAGAGGCGGCTTGATACGACCCCCCCCCTGCCCCATCTTACCTACCACTTTCGTAGGTTTCTTTCCTAAATTTTCCTAATTTCCTACACTTTTTCCAGTGCTTCCGAAATGTCCCGATTCGTTTACTTTTCCCCCAATGTTTCACTGTAGAGAGAGAGAGAGACAGAGAGGTGGGGGAGGGGAGTATATTGCACAAGTGAAACAGGAAAAAGCGCGAAAAGTAAACAACCAGGAAACATTTTTCCCAACGCCGCAAATTTCTCTGGGGGAGGGGAGGGAGGCGAATACAACCCTCACCCCTCTCCCTACAACGACCGAATACGACCCCACCCCCTTATAGTGTCCGTGAAACAAGAAAAATCGATTACCAAAAAATTCCCCGGACCAACTACGACCCTTTCCCTCTAGCGACCAGATACGAGCCCCTCTTTTGGGGAAACGATGATGGCCCCTGCCTCCCCCTCCGGCATGACGCCTAGTTGATGAAAAAAGGAATGGTAAAATCTCAAGAAAGTTGGTAGGAGAGCTGAAGGAAATGGGTGAGGCGGGAGGTAAATTGCCCGACTGATTGAAGGGGAGTCGTACCCGAGGACAAAAGTGGAGTGGGGGAGGGTTGTGCTGACACGGCAGTTCCTATAGCTCGCTTGCAAGATTCAGATAGCACTTTAGTTTCGGTGAACATTGTAGCTCTGGATAACAGGAGAAGAGATAAATTAGCATACCTGTATGACTGGTATACAGGCCAGGGCGATGGTTTCTGTATGCTCTCGAAACGTATTGCAAGTTTCGTCAAACAATAATACTCGAACCTGAAACCGAGAGAAGATGAAAAAGAAACCGAATTCAATGTAAATGAAAAAAACGTTAG